ATATAATTAGCACCTTCCAAAAAAAACAGAGATTCCCAATATAATTTATCATCATGTATTACTATGTTATTACTTGTAACGATGCGGATAGACAAAATTATAATTGTTTGGAAAAGGTGTGTCATATATGAATATGGTTTACGTATTTTTTGTCACGAGAAGTAAAGTATTTATATGCAAAAGCTCCTACACGAGGGACTTTTTGGCACTCTTTGACAAAAATAGATCGTGCTTTATTAGTAGGATCCATGGCGAATCGATATTGATGAGATCTTTTAATAGAAGGACTTGGACCGCAACACTTGGGGCCAATTGGGTTTTGCTCCACCACCAAAACCTACCATCAATTTAAAACAACAAATAAAAGTAGCACTGAGTTAAATTTTGCTATTCGGAAAATTTTTCGGCACTTGCATGTGCAGAACGATTTGCAAAATAATCTTTTCATATTTATAACTATTTTAATATAAAAAAAATAGGTAATAAATTTTATAGTCAAGGATCCGATCCTTTCGATTGAGTGAGGCTTCTTACATTTGCGAGAAGCAAAGAGAGGCTAATAGCTCACAGTTCATCACGAACTAGAAGTCGGTAAACAGGTGTTTGCGTTTTTTATGTTAAACTACTATTAAATTCAAAGAACATCTTGAACTCACTCTATTATTTGTACTTTGAACTTTACTCTAGAGTAAAAAAAATTCCAAACTCTATTCTGTTTCTAACTTCAAAATTAAAAAAATAAGATGCCCGTAAAAAATATACGAAATAATTATATTCATCACTCCATTTTTTCTATTTATCACCAAAATATAATAGAGTTTGAGTAAAACTCAATTCTATTTTAGAGTAAAGAAATGGAATAATGGATTAAAGATATTCTTATGTGAAAAAGAATGTTGTTTTTTTCAAACCAAAAAATGTAACATCAATACTATTGGTATGCCCGTCTCAAATCTAAGTATAATTTGTTTGGAACTGACTTGAAAGTACTTAGATGATCAGTTTACAAAAGTTTATGTATTGTGGTAAGTCCGACTAATATGTAAGTTTTATCTTTTTTTTTGGTTAATTAAACTATTGATTATCCAAATTAATTAATTTACTCTTTTTCAGAAAAGAATAACAAAAAAAAATCTTCCTCCGCCGGCTTATCTTTTTTGGTTAATTAAACTATTGATTATCCAAATTAATAAAATGGGTTCGTTACCTCAGGGATTGATGTCAATTCCTCTGCCGGCTTATCTTCCTCCGCCTGCTTATCTCTTTCCGGCGATTTATCTCTTTCTCGTGGCTTATCTTCCTCCGTCACTGCCACCATATCATTCCCCGGCGGCTTATATGATTCCTCCGCCAACTTATTTCTTTCCGGTGGCTTATCTTCCTCCGCCGGCTTTTCTAATTTCTCCGCCAACTTATTCTTTTGCGGTGGCTTAACTTCGGCCACCGGTTTTTCTCCTTCCGGAAGCTTGTTAGTCCTCTCATGCTGAACTTCTCGCACATGCAGAGTATATTTGGAATGCTCTTCTTTCCTAAGTGTATCCCACATTCAACTAATTTTTACAAACATTTCGAATACAAAAATGTGATAGATCTACGAACGAGATCACTTGTAATAATGCATGAGCAGTTTTCTTTTTGGATAGATGGCCAAATCATTTCTAATGTTTTTTTTTACAACGAAAAATTATGAAAATCCATTTAACACATGTTTGGGGATTTATAAATTAGCAATCGAACCGCAAATCAAAGCCTTATTAGTTACGTTTTTCAGGGTTAAAACTTGATTACTTAATTAATTACTTGTAGAGCCAGACGAGGATGGTGATCGCAGATGCTCCGAGGCTACCAGAAGCTAAGAACCCTGTGGCCAAGAAACTCAAAGTGATAACCGCCGGTACAAGAATCGGGGTAAGAACTACAAAAACCGGCATCATAACGGTTAGTACCACGGCCGTACCGGCGAGGGTTAAACCGGAGAAGATCATGACGGCTATGCCGGCATAAACAAAATATTTTGTGATGAAGAAATGCATTTTTGGCAGTGTGAGGGAAATTTTGATACGTTTCTGAATAAAAGAGTGGGGTCCAGTTTTTGGAGGACAAAGTAGTGGGGTCTACGTACACGACACGTGTCTGAAAAAGGTATTGTCCATGCATGCAATTGAGACCTTTGTGTTTGTGCGTGAAATACGTAACGCCAAGTTTTTCTTATTTGTTTCATATGTTTCTTTGCCTCGTTCGTTTATTTTTCTACTTTTGTAAAGCTCATAATTACACTGAATATTCAAAGTGGTTATTTTTTATTTGGATAAAAAATTGGGTTATTAATTATGTTCGTACGAAAATTCAACAGCAAACAGGGAAGTCAAAAATAGCCGAAATGTTTTATGTTCCTATATACCAAAGAAAAGCGTGCATAAGATTTTTTTTTTTCAGATGGTATTAATTTGAGCTAATTTATAGATTGAGCTTCGGTAGTAATGATACAGTTTTTCAAAAAGAGTAAAATGATTTTTGACCTATAAAATATCAAATGATTTTACCAAATAAGTAAAGAAGGTATTAATTTGAGGTAAATTATCAAATGATTTTTCACTTTCAGCTATTTGAGTTTTCGTTTTGAGCGAAGTAAATGCAAAGCTAGAATAATTTTATAAAACATATCCTAAAATATATATATGGTCTAGCCGATTCTTATTGTTCAGAGGTTTGGAATTTCGATTCTTTTTTTTTTTAACTCTGGATCTTCGATTCTTAACTTTCATCAATTTCGGATTGTGTCAGTTTCAAATACATAATATAGTTTTTCTTTTAAGCTCGGTTGATTTTTGGTTCTCAATTTCGGTTGATTTCACAACATAAAAGAACTCTTTACAAGTAGTATGCATATTGTATGTATCTTATATATAACCTATAAAAGACATTACTTTTGGTAAAATCAGTTAATATTCAAAACATTTGGAATAGGAGAAACCGTGGTCTAGTGGTTGAAGTTAACGGTGAGATTTATGAAAAAAGTAAGAACTTTTGCACAAGATACTAAACAGAGATAATGCACAGAGACATATAGTTTCCAATAAAAACACACAGTTTTTATTGTTATTTTCCGCAAGACACAACAGCTGATACACAATACAGTTGTTGCAACAGATAGATTACACAAACACTTCTATAGAACAGATCCTACAATCCTATTCTATCCAAGAGTTATGTGACATCACACACAGTGATTCGTTCCTGAACGTGTTCCTAATATACCCAATGTAACGTAACAACAGTTATGAAACCTCTCTTTTTCACTCAACACAATAGATCAAGGTACACACATCCAGTCCCATCAACCTTTGAGAGCACAACCTAACCCCAATTGCATTTTTGACTGTATGCAATTGTGTCAGACCTCCTTGTTTACCAAACCAAGTTTCCATCGTAAGCTTCCCACTTGCGAGGTTCTTGGTTCGAGGCACGCCTAGTCATAAAATGAGTTTTTCTTCTCAGATTCTGACTTTCCTTCCAGATTCTGAGTGACACACAATACTTCACTGCTCATGTTTCTTCAGTAGATTCTTCTGCACTTACAATTTAAGTATTTTACGATTTCAAATTAGATTTGATATTTGAACTCCTTAATCATAACAAAGACTCAATTCTTAAACATGTTTCAGAAGTAATTTTGAAGTATGGTAAAAAAAATAATGTGAAACTTTATTGATTGATATTAATGTCAATTTCGGCAAGTGGAAGTATAAGTTCCTTCGTGGAGCCAACGAAATAAATAATATGTTAGCTGTGGCCGTTTCCATTGACGAGTGGCGCTCCTTTAGTCATAATGGTGAGATAATTCAACTTCATTTGTAGATATTCCGATTTTATATTTTGATTTCCAAAAAAAAAAAAACTGCAACCATATTTGTTTGATGGGTGATTTTTTCTTGCTGGCTATTCTTCTGAAATTTTTTATTTTCTAGCTATAGTCGGATTACATATCTCAAAACATGGATGGACGATCTATTTCTCCCCCTCCAATAACTATTATA